TTGTTTGTCGTTTCTCCGATCACAAATGCAGACATGGTTTTATGTTTACGCGGCGCGATACGCAACGCAACGCGTATAAAGACAGTAAAAGTCATTATAATCAGTAATTATGTCCCCACTGGATGCAAGTTACAAATGCCTCGTTTATAATGGGTTTTATTGGTTTTGTCTCATCGTGCCGGGACATGGCATCACAATATGGTAAGGGGCGTAACATTTCCGTCACACGCTTGAGGTATTCAGCCAATCACAACGCACTGGATAGCTGGCCAATCAGCGTACACCTTGCTTTTCAGAACGATGAGCTTTGTAAAAATCGACGGGTTTAAGAAAGTCGGGGCATAGAGGAGCAACAATAATGTACATTGTGGAAAATAATGTTTTTTTTTAACCTTAAACCACATAAACACATTGCATTACACCAAATACACAAAATAATGTTCTTTTTAGCAATGTCATATGACCCCTTTAAGACATTTCCCAACTTAGGAAACACATAGGCTCTGTTATTTATTGAAACCCCATAAAACCCTCTAAACTATACAATCAACAGCTAAAAAGTGTGGAACATACCAGCTCTGCTTTATCCCCTTTCTCCCCAGGTTCACCTTTTTGACCCTGAAGACATTATGAAAAAGCAAAAGAATAGGAATACTCAATTTTACCATTCATTCAACAGAATTCAAACTGGCATGACGAAATACACTGCATCCCAAAGTCAAGCCATGTCATTTCAACAATGACAACAATCTGTTTGCTTGAGGGGCACCATTGCGTACCATTGGGCCTGGTAATCCTATATGGCCAGGGGGCCCTGAAACCCCCTTTTCTCCAGTAGGGCCATCTAAACCCTACAGAATGAGGAAAGAATGAGGAAATTAAATTTGGCAGAAAAGTCAGTCAGGGGTGAACTGGTTTGATGAACATCACCTGACAGCCTCAACAAGGTCTACAATAGGGCTGCACGATAAATCGCATGCGATATTTAAGCTCCTCCGTGAACAACGGCTCTGTGTAGTTAATGCTGCTCAATGTGAAAGCACACACATGATGGAGATTTACAGCTGATTACAGAAGCGGCTTTACTGATAAGATGCGTGTTAAATATCGCATGCGATTTATCGTGCAGCCCTAGTCTACAACCAAGAGACCTTTGAACTCGTAGCATCCAACTTGTAGGATTAATGATTAGTAAAAAAGCATTTCAAGGCGCAATGCTGCCCTCCCACCACAAACTCTTTCAAAATTCATCGAAGCACTCATGATCTCACATACTCAAATAACAATGACCGCATTTACATGCAAATCATTTTCTGATTAAGGTCTATATTTTGGTTAAGCCTTTAATCTGAAAAAATATGTTTACATGTCCCACAGTTATTGAAATATTCCTATGTTCTTTTAATCAGACTATTAAAACAAGCAAATATAAATTTCCTTTGGAAATACTGGGCATGCTTTATTATTATTATTATTATTAGTAGTAGTATTAGTATTATTATTATTATTGTTCCAATACAAAACAATATTCCAAATAAAGATTACATGAATCCAAACTTTTCCTTACATGTATATGCCAACTATTTTATTAATTTCTTGAAACTGAAATATTGGCGCAATTTGGTTAATTTTGGAATTGTAAATGTATTGACATGATGTTTACATATTTTGAATATTATGATATTTGGAATATCAGAATATTCTTTCATGCAGGGGTTAAAGGGCACAAGACCCTTGTGGTTATTTAACAATTAATGTATAGTCAGACAGACCATTTATGATTGGATTTAAGACGGGTACAGTCACTCACAGGTGATCCTGAGGGGCCCATGTCTCCCTTGTGTCCTTTTGCCCCAGACAAGCCCATGACTCCTCCTTCTCCCTGTGGTCCCTCAGGTCCAGGAGGGCCGATGGGTCCCTGTTCTCCTGGCTTTCCTCTTGGACCCTAAGAAGTAAACAGGTACAATCACTTTGCATAAATGTATCCACCAATGGACTAATTGCAAAATAGTGGCTAAAATGTTTCATTTATTGTAAATCAAAAAATATTATTTACCTTTTCCCCATCAAGACCAGGAGGACCTGGAAGTCCTACATCTCCCTGAAAAAAAAAAGTGATGTTTAATTCAAAATAACAAGGTAGTCTACAGTGACATGTTGCAAAATCATGGTATGCATGCTGCTTAAAAAACTTCTTAAAATCTCCCCAGAATTTCATATGAATATTATCTGAAATTCACCTAATGTTATACACTGAGTATAAAAAGGGTAAGAATGACAGAAGTTGGTCAGCTACCTTCAAACCGGGGGTGCCAGGAAGCCCTGGAGGTCCGGGTAGACCAGGAGGGCCCTAAAATAAAAAAAATAATATATACTTAAAACATCTGAAAGTAGTTGTCTGTTCATCTTTTCATGTGCTCAAATACGCAAACAATATCCAGTTTCCCAACATACTTTTTCACAACAAATAAATACAAGATATAGAGAAGGCTGTTAGAGCAACACTTACCATTAAATGCACATTGCGAATATCCTGTAAAACAAAATTAAATTAGTGCCTTCACATAATACAGATTAATCTGTTGAATCGCTTATGTGAGGCATAGAAGTGAATATGCATTAGAACTAAATCATAATCAAATTAAAGTAACATTAATCTGTGTACATAAAAAAATAAAGACATACATTTTCATTGTTGTTGATTAAAGTTTTTCCTGGCTCCCCAGTTGGACCTGGTGGACCCTGTTGAGCAATGGGGAAACACTCAATTGATACATGCCATTATTTCTGATATCAACCATTCACATCACACTGTTAAACAAATCTGGTGACTTGCATTGTTTTGTCTGTCAGTGACAAACCTGACACTGCACATGGCCTCTACTCACCCTTGGTCCAGATGGGCCTTCCTGGCCAGGATCACCCTGCAAGACAAAAAACATTAATTGTGCTGTTTTCTCCAAGGACACATTTAAAATATAACTAGTTCATGTAGAGTTGTCATTCTTGTTCCTTTTTGTTGTCATAAAATGTCAATTGCCCACCTTTATAGCAGCATATATAATGTGGAGAATGAGGGGTAGGTACCTTGGGCCCAGCTTGTCCTGGCTGTCCTGGGGCACCTGGTTCTCCTTTAATGCCAGTTCCTGCAGCACTAGGCTCGCCTTTCTCTCCCTAGCAATAAATAACAATCTAGAAGTTAACAAAAGATTCAAGATGCGGCTCTATATAACAAAGGTGTATAAAACAGTCTAGTGTGAGCATCTTGTTGCCATTTCCCTTTTGAAGCATTACAGTTAGCGTCTTTAATTCACCACAGCTGCGGTACTTAAACATAGGGAGCGAGAATAAAGGTGTGGTCACTGAAATACAACAAATATGGGCCACAGAATATGAGGTCGCCTAGGGCTTCTGTTTTACAGAAACACTAATTAAATCATACCAATTAACACATTAAAAATGTTAAAACATTTTCTTCTTCTATTGCCTGCAACACTGCAAGCCATGCAGATTTAATGCTCGTTTGCATGTGCATATGAAAATAAATGGAACACAAAGTGTTGTGAAACTGCAGCGTAATAATTTCATTGTTTGGCATCAGTACAGACAAAGTAATATCTGAAAGTGAAATGAAACCGAGACATTATAACACCAAAAACAAACAGCACTGAGTGCAGACAGTCAGGTCACCACTTCACAGAATTTTTTAGACATGCATGTGTAATTAAAGTCAAATGCAATTTACCAAAAATAGAATACATTCACACTAAATGTCAACCTTTATAAATAATAATAACAATGACAAAAGCACATTTACTAAAAACTTCAATTTACAGGAAAACAAAATATAGCTAACTCAAAATATGAATAAATACCATAATACTACATAAAATAACACTGTAAAGTTGGTGGAATAAGGTGCATGCATGGACCACTTTTATGGTGCTTTAGTTTGACATTTTGAAGCTTGACAATATCATTCAATTTAAATGAATTGGTAAAAATTCTGTGTTCCAAGTCATACAGGTTTGGAACTGCAAATGGGCGAGTAAAATTCACTATCAATATTAAACATAACATCTAAAAACTAGGCTTGAGGGTTTAAGCTCATTATCAGAACAAGCACTAATGCAAGAAATAGCCACAGCACACATTTGGGTGTACCTTGTAGCCCCGTTTTCCAGGGATACCAGAAACACCTGCCTGACCCTTCATATCGACAGGAAAAACCTCCATCACTTCAAGAATTTCATATGATCAGCAAAATGTGTTAAAGATACAACCACACCAAACCAGGCCTTTACCTTTCGTCCAGGGGCGCCTGGGAAACCAGGCTCTCCCTGAAGGGTGCAAGACGTCAACATTAGGAAAAACAAAAAGAAAGAAAAGGAAAACAGTGAGAATAGACCTAAACACGTCCTCAAATGCTGACCTTTGAAAATCAACAAAGGAATCAGCATCATATATTTTGGCTGAAAAAGTCATTTGTAATTTCAACTGAAGATTATTCTCCGTAATTATTCAGACAAACAGTGTTTATGTCGACCGTAAACCCCCAAGGGTCTATCAGATTTCTATTGAAGCAATTAGACCGCACGCGCTGGTATCAATATTTAAATTGGCATGTCGAAGTTTTTGCTCTCCAGGCACGCAAATAGCTGATCACTAGCATTGCCGCAATGAGCCGGCCCACAATTGGTTTGTTATTAATAGTAAAGAGCACAAGACAGCTATTTAATTCATGTCTGTTATCTCAGACTAATGAGCAGACATGAAGGCAGTAATCTATAGACACAGCTGCGGCTGCATGCGGACACTCGACCCATTGAGGTCGAGGGTGGCTGGGGGGTCTGACTGCTAGTGGCACCATCCGTCTTTCTCCTGCCATCTCATTCCTCAAGTCTCAGATGCCACTTTACAGTGTCAGAGGGTGAGACGGTTATATGTGAGGTGCCTGTATAATGAGCTATCAATCACGCTCTGGTGTGAAAGCAGCTTTGCATACAATCATAACAGATGAGATTGAACTCTCAAAGGAGCTGTTTAGCAGTGGAATGCTTCTGGAAGAGCATGCAGGGTTCTGGGAAAAAGATAGTTCTTTATGAAAGAATGGGTAAAAGGGAATGGATAGAGGCTGCAGTAGAAGTGAACTACCTTCACTCCTTGTTTCCCAGGCATTCCAGGCATCCCTAGCTCACCCTGCAAAATCAGCATTAATTACTCATCTTTTCAATACATAAACGGTTACATTCATGAGCCAAAACCAAAGACCACACTCATAACGCAAGCAAAACACCACTGAAAGCCTTTTACTTCAGCAGGTTGTTAGACATGATGACAACCGAGTATTTCCCAGCACATCTGCTCACCACTGGACTGTATGTTGAGCTTACAGTTTTGGTTCCCACTGACTTCCATTGTATGGACCAAAAAAAAAAATCATCTTTTATGTTCAACAGAAAGAAATGATGACAACTTTCATTTTTGGGTGAATTATGCCTTTAACTATCTTAACCATCAGTGCTGGGACCTGTAACATGCATTAGTTAAACCGATTAATATACTTGTTAAGTAGTAAAGAATACAAGAATAGACTACAATTAAAATTTACACCAAAATATCAGTTATCACTTTTTCCAAATAAGTAATGCATATGCCTTTTCTACATATCTAACCATTTCTATGGATTTATATATTAATTATTTATTTGCGTATTATTTAAATAATGTATACATAATTAGTATTTTTGATCTATTTCAAAGCTCCCCTTTCCCATGCTGGAAGAAATAGGGGTGTAACAGTTGTAATAGAGTATGTGTGAACACCCTCAAATTTATGTTTTAAAAATGTCAAAATGCTGTTTCAGTGGAATTCAGCATTTACAAATAAAATATACATTTCTAATGCATTTTTAATGTACGGTAATGGCTGCACGCCAAGCATAGCAATTCCACTGGAGGAAAGAGTTTCATTTAGCTTCAGTGAGAAAAAGTAATGCGATACTAACTTAGCACATCACTTTTCATAAAAAGAAGCATTTTAACAATTAATTATAATTTTAAAAAATCACCCAACACAACTATCCCAACAAGCATCCAGCTTTACTAGAAGACCATACTGGTTCACCACAAGACCAGCAGCAAACCACATCTAATCAGCATAAACCAGTTCGAAAATTAGAGTTTAAGCTGCTCTCTTTAGTAGGGTTATCAAACACACACACAAACAGGTAGATTGGCCAGCACACATTAATTACATTACATGGCAGTGCCACAAGAAAGCACTTGGACAACATGTCCAAAAAGCCTCTACAGAAAACAACGCATGCCATTTGAAAACTGGCAGCCAGACAGCAGGCAGCTGAGGGCAGAGGTCAAAGATGGCATGAAGACTCCAGTGAGTCTGAGTAGGGGGCAAGTGGCAGAGCCTAGTGTGGCATAACCCGCTTTGACAGGTGCAGCGGTCAGACCTTGGAGAGAGTTGCAGGTTATCAAGAGAGCCAGACGGCATATGTGTGTGGTTTGATTAATGATCCAAGGCACTCTAGTGTGCTTTTGGGCCTGAGACAAGACTGCTTGTCATACTCAGCTGCCTTCATAAACTCTGTCCAATCAGGCACCAGAACGGGCGGCAGGGTTTGAACAAGGCATCGTATGTGAGTTTATCCGTGTTCCCAGTAGATGAAAGAGCCCGACTCCATGTTACCATCCCGTTAAGGGAATGGAACGATGCAATGATTGTTGATCACTTTAATCATGAAAGAGAGACTTCTCGGACACATGCTGAAAACAGGAAGTCTCTTTGATCTTCTTTATTTCCAATCAACTCACACCATTCCGTTAGGCCCCTCTGCTCATCGTCATGTCTCCTTCAACCCCGTCCGCTTCTATTTTAAAGCGAATAGTGCTTGGTGGGGCAGAGGCTAGTGTGTGGACTGACACAGGCTGCAAGTGATTTATGGGAGTGCTAATCTTCAGGCTTAAAATGATGAGGACGGAGCCTTTTGAGTTGAGGGGAACTCTGGGAAAGTGAGGAGAACTGTCATCAGCACTGAGGAGAAGTGGCTGCGTTCTTTGCTGACAAACTTGATTCCTTCAGGATGGATCATAATAAGTAATGACTTACTTTGGCTCATGGGCGTCGTTAGGCCATTTTTAGGGGGGCTATAAAATGACTACTCAACCCCCCTAAAATTTTGCAATTAGCTCCATAAACTGTACACGAATTCGTGATCGCCTCAGTCCCCTTTAAATTTCATATGAAAACGGTGGCAGACTTCGATCGGCTCCTCCCCGTCTTTCTGCGCATTCTTTTTCAATCAGCAGACAGCAGCAGCGGCGCAGAGCGAGAAACAGAGGACAAGGTGTGTGTTTAACAATAGATTGTTGTAATATCTGCATCTGTGCAGTTTTGTTCTTTGTCATAAATACAGTTTACAAAATATCAATCGGTTGTAGCCTAAGTTTTCGTATATAAATTTAGCATACCACCCCTATTAGTCAAACATTTTATTTATATATATATATATATATATATATATATATATATATTATACCCTCATTGGGGGCTGAGCCCCCCTAAAATGAAAATCCTAGAATCGCCCCTGCTTTGGCTCATATGAAATACGAGAGCATGGTATACATGCTTGGCCCGAGGTAAAAAAGAGAAAACCGAAGAATGGAATTTCCAAACTAAACCTAATTAGTTCCATTTATATACATGCATCATATACTGCTAAAGTTCTTTAAGACACAAAGGGTCCTTGTGTGAAGAGAAAAACAACTATTAAAAAATTAGTCCTGAATCTTAAAATTAAAGAGGCAGTGTGTCAATTTGAGGCACTAGCAGCAACAAGAGTAATAGCAATCTGTTTGAATTTACATTCTGACAAAATGTTTGATTTATGCTTTAAAATAATAATCATAAATCCAACATTTTGTGAAGAACATTCACCAAGGCAGCATTTATTTGATCAAAAATACAGTAACAATAATATTGTGAAATATTACTGCAAATTAAAATAACTGCTTTCCATTTTAATGCATCTTAAAATGTAATTTATTCCTGTGAAGGCAAAGCTGAATTTTCAGCATCATTACTCCAGTCTTCAGTGTCACATGATCCTTCAGAAATCATTCTAACATGCTGATTTGCTGCTCTAGAAACATTTCTTA